TCTGCTTGTTAAACTGGATATTTGGGTACATAGGTCTTAGGTGCAGAGTTACATGAGTCAGGCTATACGCACTCACAAACAGCACTATAAAACTGTTCTGATTTAACTGGATGATTAATACCTCTCTGACTGCTGAATGAAATATGAGACAATCTGACTCCCCAGTCTCAGTCAAAACAGGCCTGACATGTGGGCAACCCAAACCCTGCTACAATGAATAGGGAGCTTCTGCTAATCATATTTTGCTGCATCAGTAAGATTTTTTTTTACATCAAAAACAAAGTGTATAATATTAATTTTAGCTAAAAAATGACTATAAAAGTATTTTATTAACTGAAGTCAAGATATGTGTATTTGTTTTGGTGTGATTTTTTATTTTTTCCTCTCCTAAAATCTAAATTATAAGATTAAATGACTAAACCATAATTAATTTGCATGTTATTTGTGGTTGTTAATGTGGTTGATAATAAATGCCAGTGGTTAAATAATTATGTGGGCAGCAGGTGCTGAGATTTCTGGCTTCCATTTACCAGCCTGACTTGGAACAAAATGTCTGCCCTCACTGGAGTTTCAACACACTCTTCAACATACTGACATTTTCAACTGCTCAGCAGTAGATGACAACAGATGAGATGATCATTAATAAATGAATACAAAAGATAAATACATGCCCGAATCTATACATAAATAAATAGATAATAATGAATAAATAAAATAATCAATTCAAATTCATTCAAAATCAAACAGTAAAATGCACAAATAAATCCAAAAGTAAATGCATGCCAGAAATTACCACATAAATAAATGCCTTTGGGTTATTTACTATTTCAATATATTTACAGTTAATTATTTTTGTACCTTTACATTATTTATTTTATTTGTTTCTCTCTCTTTTTTTTTACAGTTGTTCATATACAGTGCCTTGCGAAAGTATTCGGCCCCCTTGAACTTTGCGACCTTTTGCCACATTTCAGGCTTCAAACATAAAGATATAAAACTGTCATTTTTTGTGAAGAATCAACAACAAGTGGGACACAATCATGAAGTGGAACGAAATTTATTGGATATTTCAAACTTTTTTAACAAATAAAAAACTGAATAATTGGGCGTGCAAAATTATTCAGCCCCTTTACTTTCAGTGCAGCAAACTCTCTCCAGAAGTTCAGTGAGGATCTCTGAATGATCCAATGTTGACCTAAATGACTAATGATGATAAATAGAATCCACCTGTGTGTAATCAAGTCTCCGTATAAATGCACCTGCACTGTGATAGTCTCAGAGGTCCGTTTAAAGCGCAGAGAGCATCATGAAGAACAAGGAACACACCAGGCAGGTCCGAGATACTGTTGTGGAGAAGTTTAAAGCTGGATTTGGATACAAAAAGATTTTCCAAGCTTTAAACATCCCAAGGAGCACTGTGCAAGCGATAATATTGAAATGGAAGGAGTATCAGACCACTGCAAATCTACCAAGACCTGGCCGTCCCTCTAAACTTTCAGCTCATACAAGGAGAAGACTGATCAGAGATGCAGCCAAGAGGCCCATGATCACTCTGGATGAACTGCAGAGATCTACAGCTGAGGTGGGAGACTCTGTCCATAGGACAACAATCAGTCGTATACTGCACAAATCTGGCCTTTATGGAAGAGTGGCAAGAAGAAAGCCATTTCTTAAAGATATCCATAAAAAGTGTTGTTTAAAGTTTGCCACAAGCCACCTGGGAGACACACCAAACATGTGGAAGAAGGTGCTCTGGTCAGATGAAACCAAAATCTAACTTTTTGGCAACAATGCAAAACGTTATGTTTGGCGTAAAAGCAACACAGCTCATCACCCTGAACACACCATCCCCATTGTCAAACATGGTGGTGGCAGCATCATGTTTGGGCCTGCTTTTCTTCAGCAGGGACAGGGAAGATGGTTAAAATTGATGGGAAGATGGATGGAGCCAAATACAGGACCATTCTGGAAGGAAACCTGATGGAGTCTGCAAAAGACCTGAGACTGGGATGGAGATTTGTCTTCCAACAAGACAATGATTCAAAACATAAAGCAAAATCTACAATGGAATGGTTCACAAATACACATATCCAGGTGTTAGAATGGCCAAGTCAAAGTCCAGACCTGAATCCAATCGAGAATCTGTGGAACGAACTGAAAACTGCTGTTCACAAACGCTCTCCATCCAACCTCACTGAGCTCGAGCTGTTTTGCAAGGAGGAATGGGCAAAAATTTCAGTCTCTCGATGTGCAAAACTGATAGAGACATACCCCAAGCGACTTACAGCTGTAATCGCAGCAAAAGGTGGTGCTACAAAGTATTAACTTAAGGGGGCTGAATAATTTTGCACGCCCAATTTTTCAGTTTTTTATTTGTTAAAAAAGTTTGAAATATCCAATAAATTTCGTTCCACTTCATGATTGTGTCCCACTTGTTGTTGATTCTTCACAAAAAATGACAGTTTTATATCTTTATGTTTGAAGCTTGAAATGTGGCAAAAGGTCGCAAAGTTCAAGGGGGCCGAATACTTTCGCAAGGCACTGTACATATGTTTTTACTTATTCACTTATTTTATTACTGTATTTCTGTCTTTATGTTAATTACATATAGGTGGTACAAGCATCATTCCACTAAAGATACAGAAATAAATAAAAAGAAATATAGAAATAAAGAAAAAATACATAGAAATGTATCAAGTGTAAAAATAACTGAAAACATGTTTTTATGCCCTAAATAATTAACTACATTTATTTATTTCTGAATTTATTCAGGCATGGCTTTTGTTGTGACTTAGTGCTATATAAATAAAGTTGAATTTGAATGTGCTGTATGTTTACCTTTATCTTTAATGTGTAACATTATGCTTATATTGTTTGATTTTTTGTGTATTTTATTTTTGGATTTTGCTATTTGTGTGTTTTCTAATTTGATTTGTGATTTTGATATTTACTTTGGTATATTTGAATGGTTTGAAAAGTAAATTTCTTTTTTTGTATTTAAGGTCTGGTTTTATTTTCATGACTTGTGGGTTGTTAAACCTTAAATTCTTTTTTTTTTTGGTACTTTCACTGTTTTTTTTTTCTATAAATGTTTTTTGCATGTTTTTATGATATAGTTTGCTTTATTCAAATAACTTTATTTTGAGCAGTTTTTTATAACCTAACGTTTTTGTTTACTGTTGATGTACTATATGCTTACCTTTATCTTTAATATGTAACATTGTGTTACATTGTTTCATTTATTTTTTTTGTTGTTGTTGTTGTTTTCATCTTTTCTGGAGCTTGTTTAGTAATGTCTAGTCCTTACTTTTGTTGTGATTTGGCGCTATATAAATAAAGTTGAATTTGAATGTACTGCATAAACATTTTAGTTATCCTCAGCTGACTTCAATGTTTTTGTGTTGATGTCCTTGTTATCGGTGTTATTACCATGTGATGCCTAACCTTGTGATAATGATCTCCTCTTATTCACCAACCAGAGGCTGAGAAAGAGAAGGAGACAGAAAGGGGAGCAGCCTCTCTCTAGCCCAGTAAAAGCTCTCTCTCTGTTTTTTAAACCAGTATCTGCTTTGTGTCACTGGAATAAAAGGGAGGGTTAATTGAAGGCTGTGGATATTCATGCTAACATTACAAATCAGTTTGCAGACAATGTCTTGGCCCCTTTCCTACATGTTGGAGCACTCCAGTCTCACTGAGTCAAGCTCCCATTGGAAGTGACTGATTTAAACTTTAAAGTGGCCTTTGCTGCCATGTGGAGCTCATTTTCACTTCCTCCTTTTCTCACACTGTTTGTCACTAGCATTATGGTGTGCAAAATATTTCAGCTTTAGACACTGCTCCGCTTTATTCTGCTTAAGCCTTTGTCTAAACCTAAGGTAAAAGCATGACCCATCATTACCAGTGTGTGCATACTTGCATTAATCTGTGTTGCGGTTTGTGGCTAAATTGTTGCAGGTGCACTCCTCAATCCCCATTCAGTGTGTGCGTGTGTGCTGTGAAGAGGGTGGTCGAAAATGCCTTTCAACAGCAGAATGTAATGCAGATCATCACCCAGGACAATGATGGACAAGGTGCGTTGGTACTGACACTATCCAGTCACCAACAAAGTTCATGATGTTATTTGCCAAAAAAAATTATTTCCTTGTTCCATTATTGAGTTCACCATTTGTTATTAGATCAATGAAAATATTGATTTCATTTTTTTTTTTCAAATAAGAAAGTGTGATTTTTAACTAAACACTGTGCTGAGAAGTCCTAACAAGGTAGTGTTCACTTCAGGAAATTATTAGTTAAGTCTTATTAGTTGATTACTTTTGGATGGCAACTTTTCATCTGCTATAATTTTACTTATGCTTCATGTTTTTGTTTTGTTTTTTTGTCTGGATAGAATGTGAATGGGCTTAATCAGTGGCTGACAGCGATCAGGAAAGTCAGCATCTACAATGAGCACATGCTGCCCTCTTTCCACCCAGGGGCCATTCGCAGTGACAAGTGGACCTGCTGCCTGCAGGCCGATCGTGCTGGTAATCCAAAGGTTGAGCAGAAATTAAGAGCATCCTAGAGCATAAGCTGTACTGTCCATCAACATGCAGGCTTACATTTATTTTTCATACTTTATTCATGGTTGACTAAGCTGTAGCTAGTTTCAAAGAACAAATGAGCTTCTAGTGATCCATATTTGATGACTAATTTGTCGATGCCATGTTTTGGTTACTTCAGTGGAGAACAAGCTCCGAGAATCATAATGTTTCTCTGAACAAAACATTTAGAAAGCTACATAACATTTCTTGCGAAATCAGTTTGTCAGTCATTGTTTATGTGACATGTGTTCCCTGTGAGTCAGACTCTGGAGCTGTACTTTGCCACTGGTACAAACAAATAGTACTATGAGAACCTTTATCAAATTGTCAGATCGAGAGGGGGTCCAGTGAGGTTCTTTAGGACAATTGTGATGTGCAGGAATGTGTGAGGAGGTGATCAGCAGGGTTCTGGATGGACTGGAGTTTATTAAGGATATTAGAGAACGCTGCTGCAGCAGTCGGGTCTGGATGTCATGAAAGTATGGATCAAAGGTTCATATGTAGAGCACTGTTGTTAAATACAAGGCTGGATCTCAGTTACAGGCTGCAGTAGAAGCCACTCTGCTGTGACTCTGGGTGACTGGAGTGACCCGCTGTATCCCGGCGTTGAAACACAGACCAGATTCCAACAGCTTTTACAGGGCAGAGACAAACTCAGGTCAGTGGGGTCAACCTATTTGCAGTTCACTATCTGAACACTAGAGGCCTATGTTGCAACATGGGAATGCATTGCTACTGCTGCCTCTTGACGGTGCAATCAAATGTTTAAATGTAACTCTGTAAAAAGACAAAGTAGCTCTCAGAGACTCATCAGTGATCATTTGATTAATGTTTCTTACCTCAGGAAAAAATATCTAGAGGTGCCAGAATCTGATCAGACATACAGCAATAGAGAAAAGGTCAATCCTGACATCCACCCAGGTGAGAGTCCAGTTGCTGGTTCTAAATTGTACATTTCCTGCCTTTTACTGATGTCACATGGCATTTTACACTTTCTGCAACTGTCTCGGAGATGGTGCAGAATGCACGGTTCAGCTAATGAAGCCAGGTCAGAGTGTTGCCACTCGGCTGTTGGGGGTGATAGCAGCCATCTTCCAGTGCAAAGAAAAGGAGGACACCACCAGTGTCATTTTGAATCCCTAGACTCGACATAGACTGGGATCCACTAATGCTTGAGGGGGTGGGGCCCAACATCCTGCACCAAAGCAAGTGAGAACCAGGTAGTCACTCTGTTGATTGTCAGTGAAAAGTGGACACACCACAGGGTGCAACCTCTTACAGCCTTTTAGGGAATCTTACTGTATTCCCTGACTGCCACCATCTTCAACAGCGCTGGGGAGAGATTATGGTTCTTTATGATAAGAGGGGTTAAGGCGCTTTGAAGCATGATCTGACAATATTTTTTATGTAGATAACAAGCAATCTGTTGCATGGCCTGCATCCACTTGTTGTGAAATGTGAAAAGAAGCTTTTATATTTTGAGATACTGTACAGGACCTCGGTCACACATTTTTATGCAAAAAGCTTGTAGTAGTGTGATCTACAGTACCTGAATGTAAGGTGTTTTGATATTGCTGTTATCAATGTTTTGTAGTTTATTGAGACAGTTTATCACCACGGCCACAATGTAGCAGTGACATTAACATCATACGTAGTTCATACTACCATGAGTTTATGAAATGCTAGTGCACATGCTGCAGTATAATGCTGTCTGTACAGAAGCAAAATGAATCATTTCTAAATGTTTTGCTATACTAAAATGTGCTTCTGTTTGGTGCTATGGCCAGTCAACTTAAATATTTTCTTCTGATGTAATTCATATTTAGCCATTCTTAAAGTTATATGGGTAATATTTACCTGTTACCAATATATAGTAACATCCATACATACAGTACTAGAACTGAGACAAAAGACATTAGAGTTATGTGAGATATTCCCATCTGATAAGTTTACATTTTCTTGCAATTTTGGTGCCACTACATTTGGCTCACAAGTGTCGGGATATGTCTGAGATGCCAAATTTGTTTTTAGTAACTGAAAAGTGTTTGACATTGCATTCTTCAGTTTAATAGGTGTCTGTGAGACAAAACTGTACCCAAAGTCGTTTCCCATAGTGAGTCATGTTGAGTGTAATCCAATGTCATTGCAGAAATCCAAACCGTGGTTTTATTGGTAGCCTACAGACTGCACCAGCTTGTTTGTTCGCTGTATTAAAGTGAATGCATGTCCCAGCTGCACGGTTTTCATTCTGTGAGGTACATAACTGAGCCATTCCACTATAGACACACATTTCTCTCTGTAACACCAAGCATCACGCATACACGCAGTAAACGCAATTCTTGCTTCCCACGAGTGCACATAAATGTCCAGGTGCACCTGTGTAGATATCCACTGAAAATCATACAACGTGTCAATTTTATAAACAGTATTACTCAACTTCCAGTATTTGGTTTCAAAATAAAGTCCCTGTTAACACATGATTGCGCTGAGAGCAAGAGTTGCAACCTTATGATATCATGTAAACGTACACACTATCAAAGCATGCATTCTGACACCACACAGTGGAAATATTTTATTGTTTCCACAAAACAGATTTTAGCACCATAAAAACATTCAGAGACACACAAACTGTATAAGTAGTAGCACACAAAATGATACAAACAGGAAATAGCCGTGATTTTCAGTGGAATTGTACAAGAACGTGTTAGCAGAGATGTATATGATGTTGCTTGTGTAAAAATATTGTTGTCGCAACTCAAATTGTTTTAAAATAATTTTTCAAAAACCAAAATGTGTTAACATTGAAAGTACAAAGTTTACCTGTGACCCCAGCAACAAACACAGTGTCAAGTGAAATGATTTGTTTGGGAAGGAACAAGTCAGCTCATGCACCTACTGTAAAGTAAAAGTCATGTGCCTGGGCCTTGACAACAGCTAAGAGCTTGACTGGGCCATCACAATTAACTGGAGAGAGAGAGAGAGAGATCGGTCTTTTATTATATGGTACAGGTATTGTATCATTGCACCTGTGCACAATTTTACTTCTAGGTCAAGGCATGTTTCTGAACTGTATAAAATACATTGTAATTCCAATTTAATTGCATAACTGCATTTTTACCAAAACAGAACATGAACAAACTGTCACCCACCTATTTATATGGAAATGATGCCATATTCAAACTTAGCTGTGGTACATGACTCCAGTCTATGAGAATGTTAGAATTAAGAAATACTGCTGCTTTCTATTGACAGCTGGTAGAAACATTTCCTACATGAAATGTGAATGTACAGTATTTATTAATACTGTTAATAATGATGCTGTAGTTAAACTTGCCAATAGAGTTGATATGATTCTCTGTCACAGACTAAATTTACTGAGCAGAGAGTTTTAATGGGAGTATGGTGTGCTTTAATGGGGAAATAAAAGATAAAAGCATATCATAACTGTAACGCATAAAGGCTTTTAATTTGGATTAATGAGATATGTTCACTAATTTCATACAGTATCTCACTCTGCACGACAGACAGACAGACAGACAGACTACTTTACAGATTAAAAATCAAAGTGCAAGTATTAGTGTTAGTGGATGTAGGTTACTTCTGGGCAAGAAAAAAAAACTCAAGTAGTGAATAGGAGACGTCATGATGGAGAATGCATCAATTCAAACCCAACCACTTATGTGGAGAACGGCACCATCATGTGGCCTTTGGTTGTTAATAAAACTACAGAAAAGTCATCAACATATCCATCACAAAGCTCTGAGCAACATTTGAGCCTTGCACCTTAGGACTAAAATATATTTTTCTGGTAGCTTATTAACAATGACTATTCAGATATATTGCCCTCTAATGTTAGATAGTTCGAGGGGGAGGGCGTTTGTGTACTGCTGGGGGGGGGGGTTAGAACGAAGGAATATTGATGTCACTTTGTTTTTACTTGCTGCATCATAATAGATGTTACCTCAGCAGCTGAAAGTTGGAAGGACTCAGCCACCGGTTAACCAAACTAGAGTTTGCAAGTTTGTTTTACTCGACAATTTCATGGATTTCACGACGATTTTACCAACACAGAATTACTTTGGATATCTCAAAACCCCCTGAGAACACAGGTCAAAGTAAGTGCACAATTTATAACTTTAATCCCAAACAATACAAGTGAGACATAAAATGCGTCATCGAAATAATTTTTCACATTGTCTGTTCGTTAGCAAATCTCTGATTTACAAAAAAAAAAAACTCATATAAATCCCCATTTGACCCCAGAAACACACACAGACTTTCCTGGCTCACCCATAATAAATTCACAACTATTTTGATAATTGTGTAGAGAGCATTGTGATGGCTGTTAAAAACCAGGAAGTATCAAAGAGACCAATGTCTTGCCCATCTGGTTCTGGTAATGGCTTTGGTATTTGAAAATATATCTCAGATGATTGGACTTTCCGTTCTAATCATTTTACTTCAGCTGTCTTCAAAGGGCCTCAGAAAACACAGGGCCAAGATCCAGCTTTGTCCTGTTAAAAGATGATCTGCAAAAAACATCATGCTGGATTTTCTGTGTCGCTGAAAACCTCAAATTGACAAAGTTAATGAAGTACATTTTTACTGGTTCCACATCAAAGGCTAGTAGTCAGTTATCCCTCAAATATTAATACCACACACTGGGTTTCAGTCTATGTGATAAAACAATACTAAACTGACCAATGCATTCTGACAGGATAGAGTCCTCACATACGCATGCAGTGGAAAGCAGTGCTTCTGTCCAACCAAATGCATGGCCTGATGAAAACCTATACATGTCTTTTCCATTTTTGTCTCTCATCAAGATGGAAACCAAAACAGAGGTATAAAAGGAGTGAATACTGGAATATCACTTGGACAAAAACATGACTCCAAATGAGCATTAATATTGCTCTGTCTGCTGAATGTGCAAATATGCAAACGTTTGCTAGCTCATTTATTATTTAAGGTTATTATAGCTTTGTGTCTGAAGCTTATTGACCTCAAATAGCCAAAAGGTCAGTTGATACAGGTTAAATTTTATTATCAAACCCCAGTTTTTATGCTATTTAAAATGTTTATGACTGACATTTATCATTTATTCTTTAGCAGAGCAGAGCTCCATGTCATGATTCTGTCTCTTTTGCTTCCCGTAACATTCAAAGTCAAAGTCAAAGTGTTTATTTGTCATATGCACAGTTAGGAAACATGTTTCCCTGTACAATGAAATTCTTACTTTGCTGTCCACATGAATGCCACAAAATACAAATGAAATATAAAGTAGATAGATAAGCAACACTAAATCTAAGGCACTTTAAGCAGGTAACATGCTTTTATTCTGACACCACCTTCTGTTTAAGGTCTCATTTCAGCTACGGACTATTTACACTAATCAGTGGTAATTATTTGCACCTGTCAACACCCCTTTATAGGCAGTATCCTCCCACCAGCAAGCTGCCAGATTGTTCTAACTCATGTTTAGACTTTTCAGCGTTTTTCTTGTACCTGTTATTCCAGCTCTGACCCTGGACTGCCTTGTGACCACTTATTCCTGCCTAACCCTTCTGATTCTGTTTGTATTCTGTGCATTGACTTATGGACTTCCCTTAGTGACTATTCTTCTTGTGGATACTTTGGATGTGTGAGTTTGCTGGTTCTGACCCTGGACTGGAATTATGGACCTGAGAGTGATTCATGTTTTGAGACTGTGCTTTAGTCGCACTTCCTGTTTGGAAACCTCTGGTTTCAAAGACACCCTGTTGTATCAGACTCCTGCTCTGTGTACAGATTTATTGAGACCAGAGCTCTTATTAAAGAGACAGTGTTCTGCTTTTACTCATCTGGCCTTATAATTGAGTTATTATTATTATCGGCAGCTTTGCAGGCCGTCCCTGACACTCCACTGTTGCCTAAGTGCTACTAAAAACACATTAGCAAGGGATTCTTTTGTACTAGGTGACATGTTTTTATTACAACAAATACATCTTCTTTTTGAGTAAACATATATTGTCAAGTTGCTCGAAATAGCAGTGGAAATAATGTGCCAGAGTGTTTATTAATCCACAGCTGCAAATACCACCCAGCAAAT